TGACTGGCGGAACGGATGGGGGAGGGTACAGCTGGCTCTGCCTCTAGATAAGCAGAGCCAGCTGTCATTCACGCAGCTGGGCGGATCTTGACATCGATGTCAGGATCCGCTGCGGCGTCTCAGTATACCGTGGGCTGTAGCTCGCGGTACACTGAACTTAGGGTAACGGGAGGACGCTAGTTTCTGTCCTCCCATTATCCTAAGGAGAACTATGGGGAAAAGCCCTGACCCCATAGTTCTCCTTTTAAAGACACATAATTGACAATAAGCCTGCCAAAGCAAAAAAATATGGAAAAAAAACAACATGAACATATTACGAAAAATTAATATTGCCCATGTTGTGCATAGGGGCATATTTGGAACGCAAGGAATGTGCCACTGAACAAATATTTAGCACACATGTATCTTCCTGTTGCATGTTTTAAAATACAGTGATTGATTCACCTGCAGTAAATATTTAATAAATGCCACATTCACTGCTTTATAAATGTGTCCTATAGAATGAACAGCATCCAGCTTAAACTAGGTGCCCTATGTAAGTGTCTTCTGTCATAGATCCTCCTATCTGCCTGTCAGCACTTTTCAGTGCTTTGTGTTCACTGAGCCGCACATGTGCAACTCAGTGTACAGTCTCAGCATGATTCCTTGCTGAGATGTAGTAACTACATGTGCATATGAGTGAGTAATGTCATCCAGGTGTGACCAATCAAGCAGTCAAAGACTCAGAATCCAGAAGGCATGGCAGCCCTGGCAATGGAGGCGAGAATGGACATCGCAGCACATAACGGGATCACTTTGGCGGGTTAAATTCCCATAATATGCTAATGGCTAAAAGCTCCTACTTCTGCTTTAAGACTAATGGTTCTGCTTTAACAATACTGGTTCCCCAAACAATATGCAGACACTTATTTTTATAATTTTTTTTAAGGCTTTTTAGCAAATAGCCTATACTGTGATTGTGAAAGTATGGACTACATTCTAGAAAAAAATCCACAAAACAGTTCACTGGGAGAAAAAAAAAAAAAAGGCCCAAGACATTGTTAAAACCAAATTCCTTCTACACACTTTCCCTGACATTTCCACACAAGAAAATGCAGGGGTCAATGGTAGAGAAACAAGGCACGGCAGTTCCAGGCTTTTG